TTTGGAGGAATAGATTCGGAATTTATTATAGGTTAGTAGAAAATTTTATTTCACGGTTTATATTACGGTTTATATATAAGTTACTGCATTGGACATCTAAGTGGGTTGACGATATTTATTTACCAAAATTATTTATTAAAAATCATGCAATACTTTAAATTTATAATTAATGCACGGTTATAACTATATCTACTCGTTCATTTCCTATTTATTTTCACGTAATCCTTGCTTAAATTTCATAAATCCGCTGAGATGGCGAATAACAACCTAATAATTTTACTGAAAAGTCTTATGTGCTATTTAATAATTAAAAATATAGGGGGTAACGAAAATAATATAGTATATCAACATCTTCCTCAACCCACAGATTCAAGTCAGCAGTTCAAAGTTAATGTTACTAATATATATATAAATAATAATCAAATTAACTTAAATGGGTTAATCTGGTTTGATAGCGGAATCCAATACATCCAGCTAGATGATAATAGTGCTAGCGAAATTGTAAATCAATTACCGGGAGGAAATTATTCTAATGGTATCGCAACTGTAGATTGTAATATTTCAGATACTTTTGATCTATCTTTTGAAATTGCAAATAAAAAGTGGAGACTACCATCAAGCGTAATTAGTAAAGATAAAGTGAGTGGTACAAATAAATGTGAATCTATAATTACTGGCGGCGCTAATGACGGTTCTTGGATATTTGGAAGTGCCTTTATTGCGGTAATTTATAATAAATTTATTATATTATAATTGTAATCACAATATTTTAATAATTTAAGTTATTATTAAAAGAACTTTTATATGGTTTTCGATCAAACAAATTCGCAATTTGGTATTGCTTCTCGAAGCGATATTAATTATGGTCCTGCTCCTTCTGCTCCTCCTGGCTCTGTACGTATTTGTATTTATAGAACAACATTGGATTATTTGATACTGTATTAACATTTATATCTAATTTTTTTTTTAAAAAAAATTAATATTCACAGGTTGGAATAATGATTCAAGTCCCTGGAAATGATGCAAAATGCTTGCAGATAAAAAGTTCAAAAATGGGACCTAAAGCATTTTCTTTGTCTAATAATACTGATCCGGATGGGTTTTACCATGTAGACAAAACAGTTTATCCCGCAATGACTGACGTTTTATATACTTTTTACTTTTCTCCATATTCATTAAATGGCTCGGAATGTCCTGTGACTGATGATGGATCTATAGCTACTACTCCTCAGTTAAAAGCAGACACTACAACTGATCCATGGAAAATTACAATAAGAGCTTATTCTGTACGTATTTATTTTACAGTATAGCATAAGTTTTAACAATGCTATCGTTCCTCTAACTTTTTCGAATAATCTATATTTTGCAGGTCGGAGTAAAAGTTCATGTTCCTGTTGGAATAACAAATTATGTGGAAATAGATAGAGTGAATGATATTGGATTTGCTTGGTACACGCCATATTTTTATATAGATAAAGTAGATAACGAAGGGTATTTTTATATAAACAATTTTTTGGTATACAATGGCTGTCGATATATCTTTTTTGCTACTCCTGAAGTACATACGCCTACTTTAGTGCCAAACCTTACAAATGATCCATGGGCAGTAGTCATCAACAGTGTGTAAAATTCATTTTTCAAGCCCTCAACCTTCTCAAAAATTTTTTAATGTTCTCAATATAGAAAACTTAAATTTATATATAATATCAAAAAATTTATTTAATGTTCTCACATAGAGAACATATTGTAATAAATTATGTTCTTAAAATTTTATTTGTGTTCTCGGAGAACATTGAATTTAACACACTGATCATCGAGGAAAATTAAATATATATCTTAATTGATAATTAATACAGTCAGATCTCTATAACTGTACCCTCCATAAATTCACTCAGTTCAAGTGATAATGAACTATTGCACTCACTCGTTAAATTAATGCGAACAAAATAGACTAATAAGACATAATTTATTACAGATAATTGAACTTTGTTATATGAATAAGGAAAAGTAATATTAAATTACCAATTCTCAAATATTAATAGCTACTCATGACTCACATATCACAAAAGATCACAGATGTAGTGATTGTAATTTATTATTGTTTATAGAGTCTTTAAGGGTTTTGAGAAATTTATAATAAAAGATATAGCTATTAATAGCATAGAATATAATGAAAATAATATTCAGATTACCAGCCCAGTTACTTCAAATGATCTGAGCCGCCTGGATAACCTTGTTAACCTGGTTATTACGTTAAATCAAATTTAGTATAGCCCATCTAGCCAGATTACAGAAAATATAGAGTAAAACACAGTTTTTTATATATGTATTATTCATATGCTTATTATAAATTCTTAGTTGATGTCCTTGTTATTTTTATTTATCCAAATTCCTGAATTGCTATGTTTGAGCCATATGTCATACACCATATTATCATTTCTTTAACATTTAATTTTATACTCTCTGGTTTAGTATTCCGTCCTTCTAAAAAATCTACCCAGAAACCCATTGGATGAACTTTATTTCAGAAGGAAATCAGATTACAGTATCTAAAAAATTCACCTACTTGTGTCACCTGACAGGTGGACCGAAGTAGAAATCACTCAACTAAAAAAAAGTTTATTGAATTTTTAAAATTTCAATCTTCGAAATTTCCTGATGCCTTGTATTTTATGTTTGCTATCCGCCTATTATACTGAACCCTCCTGATGGTAAACTATGAGTCACATGTGGTCTATTAGTCTATAGGTAATCCGCAGGTTGACCCACCTGGGTGGCAGTACCCAATCTGGATCACCCACTCAGGTTGAAACACAACACTGGCTACTTTATGACGAATAAATAACAAATATTCATAACATTGGATAACTTATCCTTATAACTGTATAATAAGACAGAGTTGGGATAACGGTGTCAAGTAATCCTTTTTTATGATGTTGGTGCCGATTAATCTATTAGTAACGGGGTGGTATTTTGCTCTGCAATGCAATTATAATATCTATGCATATGTGTGCATGATATGTGCTGCTTTTTCTCAGAACTTTTTTTAAAACTAGGAAACAGGCACTGTTAAATGTCCGGAGCTTGAAATTTATTAGAATAAACGAATTAGATACTGTAAATTGACGATCATCTGATCTAAAAATAGATGCGGACAACATAACAAACAAAATCTGGTCCATCACTTCACCGTAGATCGTCCTCCGCTATGCTCCGGACAATAAGTTGTTAATACTTGATTACTGTTGTGACCAGTAGAACTGAAGCCCGGAAGCACGTGAAGGATTTGTGGACAGTGTGGCGTAGGCACAACGGTTATGTAGATCATTTACCAAAGATAGGAAAGAATAGAAAATGGAAATAAGTAAATAAAGGAATAAAAGATAATACGGATATTGGTTAATTATATGATTAATGGGTGATAGCAAGATTAAATAAGTTGCATGTAATTACTAGATAAAAAGATATATCACGAATAAGACTTTTAATAAGTCATAAAATAGAAAAAGTATATAATAAAGGCCTCTCGCCCTTGAGGGAAAATAATCCTTTTGTGATTCAAATAAAATCGTCTCCTAATAATTTCCATACCATTTTACGATACAAATAAACACTTACACCGTGATCTACTACTTAAGTGGCATAAGTAGAACGATCGTTGTTTTCTTGCTCACGTGATATCGAAAAGTATACCGAAACCCTGTCCGGTCGATTCTCGACGTACTGAGAGTAGCCGTGGTGTTATTTTCCAACTGTCTCAACGGACTGAAGATAGTTGTGGTTATTTTTCCAGTTTCCCGACGGACTGTGGATTCTGTGGTTGTCAAGTTCCAGTTTGAGGTTAAGTGGAAGACCTCAGCCGTGGTTTGTGATATTTTTGTGGATGAAATTATAAGTGTTAGGACATAGTATAAGACTTTCGTATCAGCCAAAAGAAGTCATACCTACGACCCAAAAATCACCACTCGCCAAATCTAAACGCCTCTCTTCGACTAAGCCGATCGTAGGTTACACGACGCTTCGGATCGATTAGCGACAGACTCGCCGATTTACAGTTGTCACTGTTACCATCGGTTAGGAGAGAAATTGCGGATGTTAATCCAATTTAGCTCCGATGGTTAATTTAATTCGAGATAATAACACTTGTACACGTGATATTATGTCACGAAACACTTAAGCTGGGTCGGGGTTATCACTTAATATATCAAATTTAATTATTCGGGGTAATTTATTATGTAACAATAATATAAAAAATGCAAGATAACAATAATAAAGTAAGAATACAATAAAAGAATAAACCTATACTATACACATGTGAAAATCCGATTCTTATTATACACTCCATAACTAAGGCAACGTACGTTCTTCTGAGACATTGTCTGAGACGTGTAGTCTGAGGAAACTTTATCAAGGCGAAAACTCATGCCTTAAATACCGTTCAATTTATTAAGAGCTATTGCGCTAACTTTAATCCAAACCTTATCTTCACGGCAATCAGACTTCATGTTGTGAACAACCCGTGTTGAATAGCCTCCAAATATTGCTCACAATGGTTGTGCCAAATATTTCTCACAATAATTGCTGTCATTACCGGTTTTCCTAAGCATCATTCGATTACTTCTATCTAATGTTTATCGGATGATGGGAATAACCAACCACCGGGATTGATCTGTGTCTCTAAGCCTTCAGGAGCCTCACAACATTCTTGTGGCTCGAGTCATTCGGGATTTTAGTGCTACCAAGTCACATCTAGGCCATGGGTTTAGAATTTTAACCCAGAACCTCAATGCCACGGATTTAAACTTTAAACCGTGGCAATACCGGGAGCCCTTATGTCAAGAAATCCCGAGCTGCAGATCACTTTCGAATCTGTTCCCGGAGGCCGATTTGTGATTAGTAGATTGATATTCTACATGAATAATTCTGAAATTTTACGAAACCGTAAAAAAAGTTATATTTTGAAGAGGTATGGATAATAAACGTTTATGTAAATGCTGAAGTAAACGTTGAAGTAAGCACTGAAGTAAACGTTTAAGTAAAAGTTGAAGTAAACGTTGAAGCGAACATTGAAGCGAAAGTTGAGGTAAACGTTGAAGTAAACGTTGACGTAATCGTTGACGTAATCGTTGAGGTAAACGTTGAAGTAAACGTTGAGATAAACGTTGAAGCGAACGTTAAAGCGAACATTAAAGCGGACGTTGAAACGAACGTTGAAGCGAACGTTGAGATAAACGTTGAGGTAAACGTTGGGTAAAACGTTGAGGTAAATGTTGAAGCGAACATTGAGATAAACATTGAAGTAAACGTTGAGACAAATGTTGAGGTATAAACGTTGAGGTAAACGTTGAGGTAAACGTTGAGGTAAACGTTGAAGTTAACATTGAAGCGAAGTAAACGTTGAAGTATACATTAAAGTAAATGTTGAGGTAAATATTGAGTAAATGTTGAAGTGAATATTGAAGTAAATATTTAAGTAAACATTTAAGAGAATGTTAAAGTAAATATTGAAGTGAACATTGAAGCTAATGTTGAAGTAAACATTAAAGTGAACATTGAATATTGATTAATGTTTATAAAAAAAATCTTACACTTCTAAACAACTATTTTTGTACCAATTTTTATAACAATTTTATTAATTTTGAAACTTTTATTAATTTACAATTTCTTTTTATTGTAATTATTATAACAAAATTAATTAAAGGTAGAATAATGTTTATATATCATTAATATTAGCTTTTATATAAATGTTAATATTAATATTTATACTATATAAACATTAATATCAATGTTTATATGAATGTTATTATTACCTTTGCATGAATATTACAGTAAAGTGCAATGAGAAACATGATAAAAATGCATCAAAGAAATAGGGCATATTAAAAACATCTAAATAGATGATAAAAACATATCAAAGAAATTAAGTATATTAAAAAACATCTAAATAGACAACAAAAGCATATAAAAAAACAGAGCAAATTAAGAAACATTCAAATAAATAATAAAAAATAATTGAAAAACAAAGTAAATAAAAAAATTTAATAAAGCAATAAAAAAAGTATTAGACAATAACATATAAAAGTACTGAATAAAGAAATAAAAAAAATGCAAAAAAATCAGATTTATATAAATAATGTATTAGTGTAAATATTAGAATATTACCTGTGGTCCATCTGGAATCAGCTACGAAATGTTTAAACATGCAGGCCCAAACTTTGTCACTGCTATTACATCTCTTTTTAATCAATGCCTTATCTCTCAAACTATTCCCAAACAATGGAAAGAAGGCCATATCTTTCCTATCTTCAAAAAGCCTATTTTTGATGGCAACTTATCAAACACCAGGCCTATCAGCTTAATTGAACATATTAAAAAGCTATATA